GAAATGTTAGTTGACTTGAGGGCAGTTGGATTACAGCTGTATGTTTCCAATTATGGTTAAAACATATATGAGACATATTTTAACACTAAATATCTCAAGGTTTTAGGATAATATGAGTTATTTCTGTTTTCTTTATACCTTTAAAAGTAATATTCATATTTTCAACAATGAGCATATGTTATTTCTATAGACAGAAAAATCAATAGTGAAAGCTTAGAAACAATCTAAATGTCCTACAATTAGGACATTTGTTTTGATACTTTTGGGCACATCCATACATGAAGTACCAATTAGCTATTAAAAAGAAAAAACTAGATATATATGTTCTATATGGAAAGATCTCCAAAATACATGAGATTAAAAAAAAAGATACAAAACACTGTGTAGAACATGTTTATTTTTATGTTCAAAATGTATATGTTTGTGAATGCATCAAAATTAATCAAGCCCTGACACTTAACAGGACTTACCAGAAAGGAAAATCACAGACCAAGCTTTTTCATGAACATAGATACAAAAATCAAACAAAACATAAGCAAACTGAATCTGGTACCATATAAAAAGGATAATACATCATGACCAAGTAAGGTTTATACCAGGAATGCAAGCTTTGTTTAACATTAAAGAATCTAGTTGATGTAACAAACTGCATTAACAAAATAAAAGAAAAATCAAAAAATCAAGATCGTCTCAATAAATGTAGAAATTGTATCTGACAAAATTTAACACACATTCATGATACCCTTGGCAAACTGGGAATAAAAGGGAACATCAATTTGATAAAAAATCTATAAACAAAACCTATATCTAACATATTTTAATAGTGAAAAACTAGATGCTGTCCCTGATGGCGGGAACAAGACAAAGATAACAACTCACATGACTTCTATTAAAATTAGCTTGAAGGTGTCCTAACCAGTAAAATAAGGAAAGAAGAGAAATAAAGGCAAAGATTGGAAATGAAGAAGTAGAACTGTCTTTATTTACACATGACATGATTGTGTACACAGAAAATCCTAAGGCATTTATCACAAAATTAAAAACAAAGACAATGACTGGCCTAATAAGCAAATTTAATAGGATCACAGGATACAAAATATATATATTTCTACATACCAGCAACAAACTTGAAAATAAAATAAAAATACGTTTATACTAATATAACCACAAAATATTTAGGAATACATTTAATAAAAGATGCGCAAGACTTCTTCACTAATACTACAAAACATTGCTGAGATAAATTTTTAAAGAGCTAAATAGAGAAATATACTATATCTATGGATCAGAATATAATTTAATTCTTCTCAAATTGACCTATACTTCAGTGCAATTTCAATCACGATCGAGCAGGCCTTTTTTTTTTTTTAAACTTGACAAGCTTGGCGCCTGTAGCAAAGTGGTTACAGTGCCAGCCACATACACTAAGGCTGGCAGGTTCTAACCCAGCCCGAGCCAGCTAAACAACAATGACAACTACAACAAAAAATAGCTGGGCATTATTGTGGTGGGCGCCTGTAGTCCCAGCTACTTGGGAAGTTGTGGTAAGAGAATTGCTTGAGCCCAAGAGTTTGAGGTTGCTGTGAGCTGTGACGTGATGGCACTCTACCGAGGGATGCAGTGAGACTCTGTCTAAAAAAAAAACAAAAACAAACAAGCAAACAAAAAACCTTTGGGAACCTGTAGCTCAGTGGGTAGGGTGCCGGCCACATATACCCAGGCTGGTGGGTTTGAACCTAGCCTGGGCCTGCTAAACAACAATAACAACTGCAACAACAACAAAATAGCCCAGCGTTGTAGCGGGTGCCTGTAGTCCCAGCTACTTGGGGGGCTGAGGTAAAGAGGGCCTAATAGCCAAAACAATCTTGAAAAGACTGTACAACTTATAATACTTAATTTCAAGACTCTATAAAGGCACGATAAAAAAGACACGGAGCTAATTGCCATAAAAATAGACACATAGATCAATGACATAAATAGCTCATCCAGATCCACTGATATATGATCAGTTGATTTTGACAAAGGCACCCAGAGTAGGCAATGATTTCTTGAGACACATAAAAAGCACTAACCATAAAAACAAAAAATTGATAAAATGGACTTCATTAAAATTAAAAACTTGTTCTTTGAAAGACTACTAAAAGAATGAAAAGGCAAACCATAGACTATGAAGAAAATAGTCACAATACATGTATCAAAAAAAGAATATGTATCCAGAACATAGAAATGATTTTATAACAACTCAATAAGACAAAACAACCCAATTTTTAAAATGGACAAAAACATTTGTTCAAATACTTCACAAAAGAAAATATGAATATGAATATGAATGGCCAATAAGCACATGAGCAGAAGCTCAACATCTTTAGTCATCAGAAAAATGCAAATTAAAGCCATAATGAGACACTAATACACACCAAGCAAAATAGTGAAAATTAAAAAGACTGATAATACCAAGTTTTACAAAGAATGTTATGCAACTGGAACTTTCGTAAATTGCCTGTGGGAGTAGAAACTGGTACACCACTTTGGAGAGTGACTTGGCAACTTCACATAAAATGAAACATCTAGTTAGCATTCAGTCCATAACCCCACTCTTAGGTATTTACCCAAGAGAAGTGGGAACACATATTCACAAAAAGACTTGTGCATGAATGCTTATAGCAGCTTTATTTATAACAGTCCCCAAACGTAAACAATTCAAACTTCCATCAACAGGTGAATAGATAAGCAAATTATAGCATACTCATACAACAGAATGCTACTAGACAATAAAAAGGCACAAGCTATGGCTCGGTGCCCGTAGCACAGTGGTTGTGGCACCAGCCACATACCTGAACACGGCTGGTTCGAGCCTGGCATGGGCCAGCTGAACAACAATGACAGCTGCAACAAGAAAATAGCCTGGCATTGTGGCAGGCTCCTGTAGTCCCAGCTACTTGGGAGGCTAAGGCAAGAGAATTGCTTACGCCTAAGAGTCTGAGGTTGCTATGAGCTGTGACACTATGGCACTGTACTGAGGGTGACATAGTAAGACTCTCTCTCAAAAAAAAAAAGAAGGCACAAGCTACAGATGTACAGATGTATGCAACAACATGGGTGAATCTCCAAAATATTGTGTTAGGAGAAAAAGCCAGGTGCAAAAGCATATATGCTGTATGAGTCCATTGGTATGCAGTAAAAGAATATGCAAAATAATCTATAGATCAGAATAATGATTATACCTGGTGGGATTGACTAGAAGAGGGCAAGAAGGAAATTTTTTTTTTTT